TAGCCATGGAGAAGCTAGGAAGCAAGGAGAACCGGAAGCGGAAGACATGCTGAAGACGGAGAGGAAAAACGCCAAGTCCCAAACTGGCCGGACGATCCGGACGAGGGCCCGGACGATCCGGACCCCGGTCCGGACGATCCGGCTAATGCGCGCCGAAGACATCCGAAGCCCTCACCTGAAGCCAGATCATCCGGACGTCGTCCCGGATCATCCGGACCTTGCCCGGACATCCGGACCCCCAACCGGACATCCGGACCTGCGCCGCCACCGCCTGCACCACCAGCTCATCCGGGCCTCCACCCGGATCATCCGGCCGAGCCCGGATCATCCGGCTCCCCTCCCGGATCATCCGGCCAGCGCCTGCGCGCGCGTGTTGGGCTGAGCCCATGTACCCCTTCGCCCCCTAGCCTATATATAAGACTCCTCCTCCTCATTCGAGACTTAGCATTGGTTTAGCTCATTTTGAGATAGAGCATTGCTCATCCACACGGATCTACTCCTCGTGAGGGACCGCACCTCTTCGGAGAAGATCCATCCGGATTCAAGGCCTCCATCCGGAGAAGACAATCAAGACCTCCTCTCGGAGAAGAACGGCTACCTTTGTATCGTCCTTTGTTGACTATGGATCTCCTATTACTTTGTGCCTCAATGATCTAGCACTTGTGTGATCAAATTCGTGTCGGTTGACTGTTTCTCTCGTTTCCCCTCATGATTTCCCTCGTGTTCTTCCGTGCATTTTTCGTGTTTCCCCGTAGGATCCACTCCAAACGTGAAAGATCGGCCCCTAGGGTTCCGCCCTACATCACATCTCAAAAAAATATTGTCTCTATTTTAAACAAATGAGTTCTGGTGCATGTTAATCTCTGCTTCTCTCCATGAAGGGCCTATCTTTTTTTACTTTTATTGTTGAGCCAATTCCATTTTATTTTTCTTGCGGCACCAGGTATTGAGTATGGCCATCACTCTTAGCTTTGTATGCATTCTCATAATAGGAATTTGTTGAGCATTGTATAAGTATGATGGTTATGTTCAAATTGTGCTACCTAGTCATCATCTATACTTCATTGCTTTCTTTATGTTTGCAATATAATCCTAAAAGATTAACGAGATACTTCATTACCACTTTATTATATGTTGAACTTAATGGAATGATGTTAGTTGTTTTTAGAATTATCATTGCCTATGTGATCAAAGGTTTTTTCTATCCTAGCATTCACACTTCAAAAATTATTCTTGTTATCATCTACCTACTCGAGGACGAGCATGGATTAAGCTTGGGGATGCCGATACGTTTCCAACATATCTAATTTATTTGAAGTATTCATGTTATATTAACATCAATTATATATGGTTTTTAGGTTTTGTTGCAGTTTTATATTATTTTTCTGGACTAACCTTTTATCTAGTGCCTAGTGCAAGTTGTTGTTTTTTGCATATTTTTTATTTCATGGAAAATCAATATTTAGGAAGTTCAAAATACCTCGGTGATTTACTATGATTTTTTTGGAATATATGTTAATTTTGGGCAAAGGAATCAACACAAGATGGTGCTCAAGGGCCCCACATGACCAGGTGGTGTGCCCACCCCCTAGTCAAGCCATGGGCCCGTGAGGGGGTTGTGGATGTCAGTTAGATCCCTTTTTATCCGCAAGAAAGCTAATTTTATGGGAAAAAATTCCCTCAAAATTTCCATCCGGTCGGAGTTACGGACCACCGATTATAAAAGAACGATGTTCCGCTAGAAAATAGTAGCAAAAAACAAAGAGAGATAGAGAAGAGATCCAATATCGAAGGGGCTCTCGCCCCTGTGGGAGCCATGGTGGACAAGGATCAGAGGGGAGAACCTCTCCCATCTAGGGGCAGGCCATGGTGGAAGAATTCGAAGGGGGGGTCTCAACCTCTCTCTCCCGGTGGTGCTGGAGTGTCATTAGGGGAACCATCATCATGGAGATCGTGTTGATCATCGTCGCCATCTTCAACGACATCTCCATCACCTTCCTCACCTCTTTTCAGTAGTCCACTCTACCAGAACCTGCTGGAATCCCCTACTTGACATGGTGTTATGGTGCTATGAATTATTACCCAATTATTTGTGTCATCACTATTATGTTTGAGTAGATTCTTGTTGTCCTTTGGGTAAATTGGTAAATTTCCGTGTTTGGTTTGAGTTGCTTGTTGTTATGTTACTGTCCTTTTGTGCCCATCATATGAGTTGGCATCTGGATCATGCCATAGGGTTAATCGTATGTGGATTGGACTATGCATATGGGGGCAGGAGCGATGATACGTCTCCAATGTATCTATATTTTTTGATTGTTCCATGCTGTTATATTATCATTCTTGGATGTTTTACAATCATTTTATAGTCATTTTATATCATTTTTTGGTACTAACCTATTGACATAGTGCCTAGTGCCAGTTGCTATTTTCGGCTTGTTTTTTACATCGCAGGGAATCAATACCAAACAGAGTCCAAACGCATTAAAACTTTTTGTGGATTTTTTTGGGACCAGAAGACATCCAGTGGGCTAAGGAAGCACCTGAGGGGAGTTCCGAAGGGAGCACAACCCACCAGGGCGTGCCTGGGGGCCCAGGCGCACCCCGGTGGGTTGTGCCCACCTCGGTGGCCTCCCGCACCGCCTCTTTGCTCTATAAATACCCTAATATTCCAGAAACCCTAGGGGAGATGATGAAAATCAATTCCAGCCACTGCAAGTTCCAGAAACACCAGATCCAATCTAGACACCATCTCGGAGGGGTTCATCATGTCCATTGGTGCCTCTCCGATGATGCGTGAGTAGTTCTTTGTAGACCTATGTGTCTGTAGTTAGTAGCTAGATGGCTTCCCCTCTGTCTCTCTCTTGATTATCAATACAATGGTCTCTTGGATATCATTAAGATGTAAGCCTTTTGTGGTGTGTTTGTTGGGATACAATGAACTTTGAGTTTATGATCAGATCTATGTTTTTATCCATGAAAGTTATTTCAGTCTTCTTTGATCTCTTATATGCATGACTTATTATAGCCTAGTATTTCTTGTCCGATATTTGGGTTTTGTTTGGCAAACTTGATCTATTTATCTTGCAATGGGAAGAGGTGCTTTGTGATGGGTTTGATCTTATGGTGCTTGATCCCAGTGACAGAAGGGGAAACGACACGTATGTATCGTTGCTATTAAGGCTAACAAGATGGTGTCTATTTCTACATAAGTAGATCTTGTCTATGTCATGTCATCGTTCTTATTGCATTACTCCCTTTTTCCATGAACTTAATACACTAGATGCATGCTGGATGTCAGTCGATGTGTGGAGTAACAGTAGTAGATGCAGGCAGGAGTCGGTCTACTAATCTTGGACCTGATGCCTATATAATGATCATTGCCTGGATATCGTCATGATTATTTGAAGTTCTATCAATTGCCCAACAGTAATTGTTTTTCCACAGTTTGCTATTTTTCTTGAGAGAAGCCACTAGTGAAACTTACGGCCCCCGTGTCTCTTCTCATCATATTTGCCTTTGCAATCTATTTTTTTGCTTTTATTTTCAGTTTTATTAAACCAAAAATACAAAAATACCTTGCTGCACTTTATTTATTTTACGATCTATTTATCCTATCTATCACAACTTTATCACGTCTTCTCGCTAATTTGAGGCATCGTTACTCGAAAGGGATTGACAACCCCATTAACACATCGGGTTGCGAGTAGTTGTTATTTGTGTGCAGGGGTTGTTTACGTTGTGTTACTTGGTTCTCCTACTGGTTCAATAACCTTGATCTCATCACTGAGAGAAATACCTACCGTCGCTGTGCTGCATCATCCCTCCCTCTTTGGGGAAATACCGACGTAGTTCAAGCAGGCATCAAGCGACAGAAACCTCGCTAGACCATATAAATTTATACATACATGATTGAAGGGGGACCAATATATCTTACTGCTATAGTTGGGTTTTACCTTAATGAACTTGTTAGTAGTTGCAGATGCTAGCTAATAGTTCCAATCAGAAGTGCATAAAATTCCGAGTAAGGGATGGCATGCTAGCAGAGGCCTCTCCCACATATAAACTTGTGATGATGATTGGTTTAGTAACTTAGTTGATTTCCTAGGGACAATTCCGCACACCATACCACCACTATCCCATGCTCGCTATTTGTATTGTATTGTATCATTACTTAGGCAGCACCTACTTTTACGTTTATGGTCTTCGTTACCTTGCAAAGCTACCTCTTTGTACCTTTGATTGCCTGCTTTTATGTTTATTTCTTGTTTCTAGATAAAGCACATGCTCAGTTTACATAGGATTGTATCAATGGCAGATAGGAGATGGGGGAATATTGATCTTACTTTCAGCTCCTTGTGTGTTCGACACTCCATACTCACCACTTCTATCTTTGGAAAGTCCTACAACAATTCCTAAAACTTGGGGATTATAATGTACTTGTCGCAGTTCATATTGACTTGGCACATTAGGTTTGTTGATGTTTTTCCATATTTATGTTATCACAATTATTAACCATAGCTTAATTGAAAATATTTCATTATTGTCAGCAATGTCAAACAAATGTTGGTTAAATAAAAATAACTTCCACACGGAGACAGAGAGGTATTCAACTTTGAATTATTCATGTGGGCAGAGGCATGATGTTGGGTGGATACATGACATGACGTGTGTACGGAGGAGAGTGGATATGATTTTACTCAATGTTTTACGAAAATGCAACAAATGGAATGTGTTGAAATTTCTGCACATATCTCAAGAGTTAAAGGATGGCTTACATAGAATCTCCCTGGGTATTGCTTGACAGGATTATTATTTTCTATACATACGAAGAATTGCCATTTTCCCTAATGATTCTTTTGTCCCTTGGATTTGATTAGTACTAAAATCTTCGTAACAATTTTTGTTTTTTGAGTGAAAGCAATAACTGTTTCTAGTCTAGACTACCAAAGTTAACTGTGAAATATGTCAGTATGATCTTGATCAAGCATGCGCACACTCACTTGCACTGTGTTATTGGAGAAGTCGAGTAGCCAGAAGCCCAAAATGAAGGCGGCAGCTGCACGGTACCGAGGCCCAGTGTAATCTCTGTACAAATCTCTCGTCAACTTGGCGTTAGATTTTACTAAGATTCTTTACATTGCTACTATATGTCTGAAATTAAAGATCTAGCTTACTTGCAATCCTCCTTCGTGTCCCCGAGTGCGTACCCGATGTCTGAGGAGAACCCAACAATTATAACCTGCGGGTCACTCATATGAGTGTGGCAACACATTAGTAACTGTTCATAACACGTGGATGGTGTATGTCATCAGAAGAGGTGTGATTGCATGGTACTCACTGATATGGATATGACGATGCATCCTGAGAGGATAAACGGTCTCCGCCTCCCTAGTGGCGAACCACACTTGTCACTAGAGAGACCCACACATGGTTGCACCTTCAAGAACATATGATGAATGCATTAATTTGAAATATATGCTTCACAATAAACTTGCAGGAAATACGCCAACTCCTGAATGAATCGGAAAAAACAAGCGCTTTGCTCAAATGATGAATAAAAGTGATGTGCACTTTACATCACTTCTTATTCTTTTAATAAATATCCATGAAGCTGCACCATGAATTTATTGCTTTTATAGACCATGGTTCAAAGTATAACAAAAAAATAAGAAGCACCAGGTGTGCATATTTTCCTCTCTTAAGTTGTTAGAGAGTTGTCTTATGGAAATCAAAAGAACTCCTTATTATACAAGATCCATTATCATAGTTACTTACAATTAACCCAGCAATAGGACCACAGAGCCACATAACCGAAGTAAGAGCGTGAGGTATTCCCAATGTCTGTCGAAGCAATAGTAAACATATTAAACCATGTTAGTGAATCCAAGCGTGCACACGCTACAATGTTTGTAATCTATAAATCTAACATAGTTTCTTAGTATAACTTCAAAACAAACAATGTTTGGGCTATATTAAATCAAAATTATACCACATATCACATACATGCGAGAGTTATAACATGTTTGATATCTTTCCACCTCCATAAAAGCTCCAAATTTGACTCATTCCTCTTAGATATGGCTCCACGTTCTAAATCATAGAATGAGGAACACATTGTCTCACATCTCTAGCTCCCTAAATCCACTTGAGTGGCGCTTGCGCGTTCCAAAGCTTACTAATATCTGACATCTTTGTTAGTCCAATGAAAAATGTGAGATAAGCCAATTTTGCTATGCAACAGACTCCATCCAAATCGGCATGAAATATAATTTCTAGCATAAATCGATTGGCATTCCTCCCGCACCACCGTCCAAAGCATAAGTACGAACGACACCATAAAAAGGAACAATATTGTAATTAGCCTGTCAGATTCCCATGATAACTCACTATCGTCATCCTCCATTGACCATTGTTGCCACCGAGCACTGTTCACTTGAATTAACATGTGTCTATCACATCCTGTAACATTGTGTCCATGGGAGGCCCCACCACCAAGCACATCCCTAGGAGCTAGTCTTACTTGTCGACAGTGTTGACCCATTGACATAGCTCACCTAAGCGCTCATCTCCTGGGTGAGAGAGGCATAATAGTGCATGAGTTGCATCGGTGCCAAGCACCTTGTCCTACGTGGCCGCATCGAGGGAAACCATCTCAAGCTCCACAAGAACTATATGAGCAAGGCTGTGGGGAGATGAATCAAAGAATTGTGACTCGAAGGAGGTACTTCTCTTGAACGTATCAAAGTTTCCAAGAAGAAGCACTTGTGATAGCTCGCTAGTGAGCTATTTCACATTGCAATTAGAGCAAGTATGAAAGTGGTTTGAGGTGAGGAGAGTGATAGGTGCAGATGGAGGGGAGAGGGCATCGTCATGGTCAGAGGGAGTTGAGAATAGCTAGAGTGTGAGCAACTGGTGAGAACTGTGACCAGGATGGACAACTCGTGTCGATCATGCTAAAAATAGTCGTAGATGCAATCATTTGATGATTGTAATCCTATGTGTTTGTGATCTATTTTTCATCCGTCCATGAATATTGTCTTGACTTCAAGAAATAAATATGTGATACGTTGTGGGAGCCTCGAGTTGTATGAAAATATCCTAATGTCCCTAGTCATGGAGGATGTGGGGAAGGGGAGTACAACCGTAGACTCCTATGTCTATCAATAGATGGCTACACTCAGATGCAATATACATGGAAATGTCAATCTCGTGGATGTAGCTTGAGTTGGGAACTCATAGCTACAATTTACATTTTCAAGATACGTCGAGTTGTTTATCGTTTATCAGTTTCAAGTAAATGTATATGACATGTCCTCATAGTAAACATTTTCTCATGATCCTTAGAATGATAATCGACTTGATTAGGGGTTGCCAAACACTACTACTTTAATATGTAGTTATGAAAGGTATCTTCCAGGTATGTTGTGAAGCATATTGCAAGGCATGGTCGATAAGGCATGACCTTTCCCTTCTTACTTGATGAGATTTATTTGGGTCCTCTTGACATATCTTATCAAGGATTGCATTAGCATATGGCCGAGGTTAAGAGTTACCCTCACCATGGATTAGTTCATAGGTCGACAAGAGATGTCGTAGCCACCCAACAAAGATGACAAGCTATCGAATTGTGTTCAACAAAATATGTTGTGACTCAAGAATATTTCGTATATGACATATTGAGAGGTTCGTCAGAACGACTTCATGGAAATTAGGAACTAGCACGTCTAGCTAGGGGTCGCAGCCAGTTATTAGATGAGTTCTTGTTGGCCAGGTTCTAGTTTATGAACTTGTCGCCAGAGAAGCAACTGATTCATATGAGTAAGGAGTTACTCAACTACCAGGTTGAGTAAGAGTTACTAGGGTCACTTCCAATGACCATGTCCTCATGAACCCGTGGGGTCACACACATAAGGATTCATAATCCCTTTGGATAAGGTCAAATACATTACAAGAATTGTAGCTTGCGTGATCATAATTGTTGATCCCTTTGGGGGAAGTCATATAAGGAGGAGTGCATTAATTTAGGTCACAAGTGAAATAACCAGTTTAGGGATGCACTCAAGGTTAGGAGAAACCCTCCAACCTGCACAACGGTCTCCTTCCAAGGCTTGCAACATGGAAACTATCAGTTCATCTTTGAGCCATTCATTTATAGATGGATACCCTCGCAAGCATTGCACCCATGATGGTCGAACAAGAATTGATCAAGGGAAACCCTTCCTATCTATAGTCTGGAGAGACGCTAGTGTCAGACCACTCAAACGCCGTCGATTCAATCGAATCTAAGGTTCAGGATTTTGCTTCGTATATGTACTAAATAAAAAATAGAAAAAAATCCCATCTGACTAATCACCCCGAATCCCCGCGTGTAATCCTATCTCTCCCTAATCCTCCCGACTCCATCGTCCTCGTCCCCAACCGCACGCAACGTGCCGGGCTCCTCGCTCACCTCACCCGGAATCCACAACCTCCTTCTCCGTCCGCCTCGCACGCAGCTGCCTCTTTTCCTCTTCTTCGCCCAGCAACACTGTGTCCTCACCGGCCAGCTCCGCCCCCTGCTCCTTCTTCGCTCCTCGTTGCCGAGCAGTATGGCTACCCCATCGTCATATCCACCAATGCGACTCCTGGGCCACATCGCAGGTGCGTCATACTTCCTGGCATTAGGAGGTCGAGCCCCATCCTCAACTTCGATTCGTGCTTCGCCGGGCTTCTCATCAGTAGAATCGGCTGCGTTCGGGGTTGCACCCTGCTCACCGGCTCACCGCCGAGCTCGCCTGCCACATGTCAGCCTCTGTTCTTTGCCAGGATCCTAACCCCGCCACACTCATACCTGCTGCATGTCTCATGTTGGGAACGCGCGGACGATAGCACGAGTCGCCTCCCTGCACCATCCTCATCTGACCTAGGGTTTGAGTCATTCCAACTTGATACATTTAATTTCTGCAATGGTAGAGATTTGTGTTCTGAGTATTGATTGTTATCTATGTTCATATCTTTGGTTTGTTCTATTGGGTGTCAGTCTATTCTATCTAATGCCTACTAGATCACTAATCATCAACGAAATCCCATGAATTTAGTATGCATGTCACACAAATATGCATCCCCGTGTTGGGGCAGTACTAGTTTATGTTCAGTTTTCCATGCTTCCAACTAATACTAATTCTGTTCCTAGATCAATCTTTCCATGCTTCTTACTCAAGGAGCTTCCTAGTAAGATGTGTCATGTTGAGATAACAGGCTTTTCATGCTTCCTACTAAAGGAGCTTCCAAATAATTTTACATATGCTTCTTCTGTCTAGATAGTTTGCTTCCATACTTCAACATTTTTGGTATCTAGTTGACACAAACATTCATCCCCATGTTGGTAGCAATCTTACTTAATTTCTATTTCCAAATTTCTATGCTTCAAAATAAGACTAGTTATGTTAAGATAACACATTTTCATGCTTCGTGCTGTCAGGGCTTCCAAATTATACTCCATATGCTCCTTTGGTTACATAGAATGCTTCCATACTTTCTGCTTCATCTTTCATAGAATGTTGTAATATGCCATGCCCATATTATATTAACCGTGTCTCTGTGGTATACAAAGTTTTCTTACATAGTCTTTGTTTCTACTTTTGTGTGTGATTCTAATGTTTTATTATTTTTCAACACCATTTTAATCAAAACTCCGCCCCATGTATGTTGTGATAGATCAACTCATTGCTTCGTGTAAGCCATGCTTTCTATATTTTTTGTTTCGCATATGTTCCATATAGTACTAAATTTCTGTGCTTCCACTGCATATCATGTATGTTTTGATCAATCAAATCGCTCTTTCGTGTAAGCCATGCTTCCTACTTGTATGCTTCGCATACGGTTCCTGTAGTAGTGAATTTTCTATTTATCTCAATTTTATATGCTTTGACGGCCTATCATGTATGTTTTGATTGATCAAATCACGCCTACGTGTAAGTCATGCTTCCTACTTTTATGTTTCACATATGTTTCTATAACAATGAGTATTTCTTCATCTCAATTTTCCATGCTTCCACAAACTATCATTTATGTTCTGACATACGATCAATTTGTTGCTTCATGTAGGCCATACTTATCTCATTTTTCTATGCCTCCATTGCCTATAATTTATGTTGTGATAGATCAAGCCATCTCTCATCTCACGTGTGCTTCTTTTGTTCAAATGTTTCGAGCTACAACACGCCACACATGCATTATTGGTGTCTCAAACACCTCGCACGGACCTCTCCCCACAATATTGGCGGTGTCTATTTGAAGGCAATGGAGGAGATAGTGGTGACATGGGGGGAGACAGTGACCAAGGCCCTCCATGATGATGTCCTTGTCACGTAGTCCATCGACTTGGCGATGCATTTGCGCCCATGCTTGAATGCGTGAGCTCTATCTTCTACCACCATGCAACCAAGAAGGATATCACCGTGTTACGAGCAATTGATGGTGTCGGCGTCCCACTGCTTGCTGCCATCATGAAGGCAACAACTTCCTTTCGGCGATCTTCTGCTTATGCATTCCCTAGCGCAGTCACTACAGCCCGAGACAATCCGCCTTGTATCATATTTTTGTTGTAATATAATTATTTTCTGTTGTTTTGTTGTATTAGGGCGATGTTGCATCGAAGCAGACTCTGCTTTCTTTGGAAGCAAAATTTTGTTTGCTTTGAAACAATGTATAATTTATGTTTTAGTGGAAGCAAATTTAATTGTTGTCCATAGAAGCAAATATAAGTTGCAATAGAAGCAAATTTTCTTGTCAATATAAACAAATTCTTGCTGTGTGACATAAGTTTCTATTAGATCGAACATGCATTTCAGGTCAATCGAGAAAAAACGGTTGTAGTTGAAGCATATTAATCAGACGCAGGAAGCAAATTAACAAGTCCAAGGAAGCAAATATATGTCGTGGAATCTTATAAAGGAAGCAATTAATTGGAAGCAAACGTAATCGTACAGAAAACATAGAAGGTTGCATGTGTGGGCCGCACGTTTATGAAAAAATCTGCAGATTAGGAATCTACTCGAGGGGGAATAAACGGCAGGAGAGAGGTAGTTAGCGAGGATACACAGGGTCGAGCTAATTTTGGGGGACCAGTTATGACGACACACCTAATTAACGGATCAATCCAACAACAATCCACAGGCAGAATTCTACTAGCAGATCCGACGACCTACATGCTTCCAATCCTACGGCCTTGGACTGGGCTGATGGAAGCAAGGGATCAGTAGTCTGAACCCTAGCGGCTCCCATCAAGGGAAACCCTTCCTATCAACGACTGCAGGGGAGGAGACATATGGCTGCAACTACATCAACGCTCATTGTCAACTCTACTTCCATTATGGTTCAACATATCAAGCGGTAATCGTGTGAGACCGTACATACACAGGTGGTGCCGGGTGGAATATTTTTTGCACCAGCGTAGCCCAACTCGTACCCCAATAGTGGTATTGGAGCAATGCTGTTTGATTCTAGACTCGGATTACGTGTAAATGTTATATGTGGCGATGTTTAGATGGGCCTATCGCTAAACGGATGGCATATCTGTGAGATTGATAAGTTTCGATAGCTAATTCATGTGATGAGTTGACTCAGTGCGATTTTGATGAGATCAATTGCATGGTCTGGTGACCCATCACATCATCAAACACACGCAAGTCTTCCAATCATCTCTTCTTATTTCTATTTTTTAGCAACAAATCAATCCATTAAAGTGTCCTACTAGGTCCCCTACGGTTCATAGATGGTAAGAATATGCAGAAGTATTATCTAGCATAACTAAATATGTGATACCACTAATATATTTGTCTCAACATGCAACCATCCCATCTCAACACGCAACAATGTACGGGAAAAGTCCCACCCCAGCATGCAACTATGAATGAAATGTTCCTTAATTTTCTTCCTTTTAATTATGTTAGTTACATTCGATAAATATTATGGACTATGCATATTAAAATATGTTATCAATTTCAGCTAACATATTATTACTCAGAAAATTTTGTTTCATGCAACCCAATATTATTAAAATATATTGCAACTGATCCCTGTAGCCACGCATGGGGCATCACCTAGTTTCCTCTCAGTTTTCTCCCCTAAAAAACTGAATAAGCAAACTCAACGGCCGGAAAAAACAAACTCAACACTGTCAAATAGGAATACACAATAACTATCATAGAAACCCTGGTACAAAATATTTACATTTAAAAGATTGCTTATTTTCGGAAGAACAATACACTCTTAGACAAAAACACGCCCGCGTACACACACGTTTACATACCTGGACGTAGGGGGTGAGGAGGGAGAGTTGCAGCGCCCAGCCGTACTGCACACCGCCGGCGACCATGCACGCGAGGAACAGTGCCACAAGGCTGATCTGCGGCGTAGACGGGGGCCTGCCGCCGCCGCCGCTCTCCATAGAGAGCTCCATGTGGTCGGCCATCCCGATTGATATCTAACTAGCTAGCCAAAAGAGAGAGGGGCCTGTAGAAATTCTAGATTTGAAGGAGAAGGGGAGGTAGGAAGGGGTGGTCGTGTTTTGTGGATGCATGTAAACGGGAAATATCATAGGAGTCTATGGACACACTTAAACCGCGGGCCTGTAGCGGGGGGTGCGGTCGTTGACGGCTGGGATAAATGGAGTTAAGCTAGTGCGAGGTTGCAGGGGAAGCCACATATTTTTGTCACTATGACCTATTTATAGGAATAGAGCCCTCACTAGCTGAATTTCCTGGCCTCTGGTGAAGCCACGTCATCCCCAAATCGCCCTAAACGACGGTCATTCATCTCCATGAAATGGAGGCATTCCATCCCCGCCTTTCACTACCGTGCAAATGTGGAAGAAGATGCTAGATGTAAGGGCATCTTCAGCGGCAATCCGTAAAAAACCTCCCGCATTTGTTCGCGGATAGGGGGACCAGTCCACGGACACGGGTGCGGGAGGCAGCCACCAATGCTAGCCGCGTACGTTTTCACAACAACTCAAACCAACCAGACGAAATTCATGCAAACACGGCTAGATTTTACATAAACATGACAGATTTCATATAAAAAAGCTGAATTTTCATATAAACATGACGCATTTTGGTACATTTATATCAACGGTGCTAATCCAACTCTGAAGATATAATTAATACCTAGTCTAAATCGTTTCCCACCGATCCCTTTGTCTTCCTCATGTCCGGCAGCCCGATAACCGGACTGCCAGGAGCCCTTGAGGTATATGCTTCAGCGCAAAGGACCGCTCACTTTCCCACCACTCATCGGAGTGGAACCCTCGGTTGATGCTTCATCGGGAGGGGAAGGCGGCGCCCCCGCTTCCGTGAAGCCCATGTGGGATCGACGGAAGAACTCGAAAGAGAAGAACCGGGCAAGACACCAGTTGTGTACGCCGGTGTCACCTAGGCGGTGGCCTTCATGGGACCGAAGCGGTGGCAGACTCCCGTGTTCTACTTCTCCTCGATGATGGTGGTGGATGCGGAGGCTCCGGCCATTGACTCGTTGCTCTCCGTGCACCCGGTTTCTACCTCTGCCTGCATGGCGCGGTCGCAGGCACGGGAGGCGCGGTCACATGCACGAGATGTGTCGTCACATGCACGGGAGGTGCGGTCGTCAACGACAGCGATGGCACTTGTGTCGTTGTGCTTCCCGCCGTGCTGGCATGGAGCAACTCGCCACTCCTCATCGAGTGGGCCTGGAGCGGCGAGTTGCTGAACCACGCGATGGCTTGGGGCGGCAACTTGATCCGTCGGGTAAGGCGCGGGGGTGGGGGTGGGGGAGGGTGGAGTAGCGAGCTGCCTCGCTCATATCCGGCGGGCTTGGCAGGCCACCCAACTGGCTTGTATGCCGGACCGGAGAACTGCACTTCGGAAGCCATCGGAAGAGTGGTGAAGGAGGAGATTGGGGGAGTGGCGGAGGGGTGTGGGTCTTGCCCGGCGTCTTCCCTCGTTTAAATAGAGGGCGGACGGGAGGAGCTTAGTCGGTGTTGCCTTTAATGTCGGCCCGCTCCTGAACAGAAATGTGGCCGGAGTATGTTTCTCGGCTTCCACGTGGGGTTAATGGAGGCGTGCGCGGCGAGGTGGCGTGTTAAGCAGGGCGTACAATGGGTGCCGCCCTCGACTGACCCGCCACTTCATGGCCAAGGCAGGGAGAGGTCGCGTCGCCCTTAGCTGTCTTCAATGTGGAGCGCCGCGCTCTATAGAAGCATTAATGCGGGTAGCTGGCGCCGGGCGGGAGCGCGCACGGGAGGGGGAGGTTTTTGTGGTGGGCCAGGGCGGCCAAAAGCGGGCTTGGGAGCGGTCTGGACTCCCACACACCTCCCCCACTTTTGTCTCCCGGTTGAAGGAGAAATCGTATTCAGACCGCCCCACAGACCGATACAGACCAGTGTTGGATGGCTTCCACAGGACAGCGTGGTCCGGACAATTGCGGGACGTTTACGGGTCCGCCTTGAAGATGTCCTAACTGAACAACATGCATGTGTAGTGCGTAGATAGACAAAAAACAAAAATAAAAAAGATTGAGTGCAACGCAGGCGCCCGTTAGGCGGATATGCCAACCCACATGGAGCATCCAGTTGTACACCCCAGAAGTGGCTGCGTGGCCATGCATTATGCGACACTCTCCATCCAGCGCCCCGTATGAAAGGTCGGGCGGCTTACCGGCAGTCCGGCATGGCAGCAAGGACGCAGCCAGGCGGATCCTTCCAGGTTGATGTATCGGGTATGCAACAGTTCAATGATTGGACTGTAGACCTTAGCCTTCGGGAGCTAGATAGGGTGGGTGCGAGATTTACCTGAACTAATAGATAGGTTGCCCCCACCCTAAGTGTCCAAGATCGGGTGTTCATGTCCCCAAAGTGTGAACTCCGCTTTCCACTGGCCACCCTGTAGGCCATCACAAGGATTGGCTCCAATCATGTTCCTCTCCTATTCTCATCGCAGGATGATCGACCTAGGACACCGCTCTGCTTCCGGTTCGAAACCTTTTGGCTTCTCCAACCGGGTTTTGTTTCTACCGTGAAGGAGCATTAGGTGGCCGGCAAGCCGAACTGCATTGTTGTATGTTAGTAATGGATGACTGGCACCACCTTGCAAAACGCTCCTGGCAATTCATGAAGGGTTGGGGCACCAATGTGGGCCGTGACCTCAAGGTCCAGAAGGGCATCCTCCTGGCGAAAATCTAGGCTCTGGACTTGCGTGCCGATGGCATTGGCCTCTCCCAGGATGAATGGGCGCTTAGGTATAGCCTCGAGGATGCTCTGATGGACATTTATACCAAGGAAGAGGCCTACTTGCGACAACGGGGATCCATGAACTGGATACTCTTTGGTCATGCCAACACGGCGTACTTCCAGGAGATTGCTCATGGTCGCCATAGGCAATGCACCACCCCCTCCCACAGGATGGTGATAGGATGCTGCAAGACCCGGATGAACTCCGGTGTCATGTGGACGGTTTCTACAGGGTGTTATTCGCCAAAAATCCTACGGGGGCATTGCCCTAGCAGATAATATTTGGGCCGACCAGCAACGGGAGTCCCCTGAGGAAAATAATTCCCTTGTAGGTCCTTTCGAGGAAGCGGAGATCAAGACCTTCATAAAATCAATGAACCTCACTTCAGCTCCAGGCCCAGATGGTTTGTCGGTCCACTTTTTTCAAGTGTTCTGGCCTGCCATCAAAGGGATGTCATGGCGCTGTTCCTCGAATTTGCGAGAGGCACATTGGACATATCACACCTGATCTACGGTATTATCTCCCTAATCCCAAAAGTATAGGGGGATGCAGACATCCGGCAATTCTAACCAATCATGGTTATCAATGTGATCTTTCGGATTCTTGCCAATGGGTACACCACTAGGGCGGCCCTGCTTGCTCCTCGGATATTCCACCCTAACCAGACAAAGTTTATTAAGGGCCGGTTTACCTTGGATGGGATACTTGTACTCCACGAGGTCATCCATGAAGTCAACAGGAAATGCCTTCATGCGGTTTTCTTTAAGATTGACTTCCGTAAAGCATATGACATAGTACATTGGTCATTCTCTGAGAAGTGTTGGAGAAGCGGGGCTTCAATCACCACTCGATCGTGCATGTCATGCAATTAGTCTCTAGCTAATGCATGATGATTAACATCAATGGAGAGGTGGGCTATACTTCCACACATCGCAAGGGGTGCGACAGGGGGACCCCCTGTCCCAGTTTTGATTTAACCTTGTGGTCGACGCACTTGCGGCCATTTTAGACTTAGCTAAAAGGGTCGGACACATCCAGGGTGTATGTCCCCATATCATTTCAGGTGGGGGACTCACCCACCTTTAGTATGTAGATGACACGATCCTGATGGTGGACGGATGAGGAAATCCAGCATCTGAAGTTCCTCCTCCTTTGTTTCCAGGAAAAGTCGGGATTGACAATAAACTTCGCTCAGGAGTACTCCATGGGAGAGTCACACTACATGGCTAACTGACTTAATTGTCGCCTTTGGTCATTTCTGTCCACCTGTCTCGGTATGCCGATTAGTAACTCATGTATCCTAGAGAAGGACCTACGCCCCTTGGTAACCAAGGTTGAACATCGGGTCCAACCATGGCAAGGGCACTGGCTCTTAAGGTGGCTAGAGTGGTCTTGATCAACTCATCCATGATTAGCCTGCTAATGTACCTCATGGGATTCTGTAGTCTTAATGAATCCCTCCATCAGGAAATTGCCAAATACTAATCCCGGTTCTTCCGGGATGGGAAGGGCGATAAGTAGAAATACCACATGGTTAAATGGTCAGAGATTTGTAAGCCTAAAAACCAGGGGGATAGGGGCATTTCATCCAAGTGGATGAATATTGCCCTCCTTTGCAAGTGTCTTTGGCTTATTGCGACCAGCAAGGGAGGGCTATGGCTCGATATTATTCGCACAAAATATTTGAGTGGCCAGCCATTTGACTTCACCCCTACGCCGAGCGGCCCCCAGTTTTGGCAAACGGTCATATAATTGCTACCAATCATTCGGATAGGGTCATAAATTTGCGTTGGATCTGGCACCAATACCCCATTCTGGCTGGACCGATGATCGGGTCCTATGTCATTCGCCGAGCGTTTTTGCTTGCTCTTCCCTATTTGCACGCAGCCACAACTCACTATGGTAGAAGCCTTGGGGAACCTGGAGAACATCGCTTTTTGGCATATGTTTGGCCCCCTTGAACCGGTCCAATGGGAGGAGTTGCTGGATTCTATCGCCCTACACCCCCCCTCACTTGAGCATGATACTATATCCTGGCGCTTAGAGCCAAGCGACAAGTTTTTGATGAAATCCTTATACCAAGCGGTTTTGGCCACACCCGGGCCAACTAAACTAAACATCATGTGGGAGATCAAGCTACCAATGAAGATCCATATCTTCCTTTGTACGTGGCCGCCTACCTTCGGGTATGGAGGTGCTTAAACGCAAT